CCCCTCGGCGAGGTGGTGTCCTTGGATCACGACACAAATATGGTCTTCACCGAAGAATATTGGGTGAAAGGTGTTCAGTCTCGCTTGGCAGGGGATTGCTCCAGAAGTGTGAATATTCGGACTCTGGCCGAAGCCTACAAGAAAAGGTTCGCATCGCATGCCACCGCGAAGAAGAAGGGCGCTCCCAGGCGAAGCACAGATCCAGAAGGCACCGTCGTCAACTCCAAGCTCTCAGAGAACCTTCGAAGCGTGCTCGAGAAGCAAAAAACCCTTTATCAGGAGGTTCTTCAAGCAAAATCCGTCGAACAGCAGGACAGGACGGAGTCCACGGAGCCGAACTTACACGTGACACTGCAGCGTAGCTATTTCTACCCCATGGACATCCGCTGCCGTCGATTCTCAACTGAACACGGAGCTCAGAACATATCTCGACTCACGAGGGCCATCTGCTTCCCCGATACTGCAGACTATGACATCTCGGCATCAATGTTCACTATCGTTGTGCAGCTGTTCGATCTGGTGCAACCGGAGGGCATGGCCATTCCCTCCTGGCGTGCCGTGGCAGCGAATCGCAGCGCCGTCTGTATAAACAAGCTGAAGTGCACCGATGCCGTGGGCAAACAAATTCTTATGGAAGTCGCCAACGGAGCGGCAGTCACGAATTTCCCGAACATCCAAAAGCAGGGTTTGGCATTCTTGACAGCTTTGTCTACGGAAAGTCGCCTTCTGCGATGGCTCGCGTGCACACAGTTGCATGCCGAATACTTGCAGTTGCGTCGCGGCTCCAGGAACCACTGGCCGGAGGCAAACATTTTTGCGGTGTGGTGGAACGCCGCAGAGGATTACATCCTCCAGGCAATGCTTTCTGCGATTCAACGACAAGGATTCGCAGGACACATTTCGTGTCATTTCGACGGCATTCTTCTTCGAAAGTCCTTGGTGAAGTCCGTAGAAGAGAATAACGGGATGAACATTATCTCGTTTCTACAAGAAGCTGTTTCAGCGCAAACGCTTTTCAAGGTGACACTCAAAGACAAAACCGTGTCGTCCCTGGATGAGTTGCTGGCCATGAAGTTCAAACCAAGCGAGGTCACGGCCGAGTTGGGCCAGTACGTGGACACCTTGACCGCCGTCCCCAACTCTATTCCTGCTGCAATGGTATTCCTAGGAGCGGATCTGAAGCGGATCATTCAACGTCTACGAGAAGAATCTCCTGCAAACACAAAAGCAGAGACTCGTCATCTTCGACAGTACTCTGACTGGAATGGCTGTGGACAATTGCACTTCCTCCCGCGGGGTGCTTGCGCCGCTGAGGCCAGTTCAGACTTCCTGCTGCACATCGAGCTCCCGGAGTCCTCCTGGTGCATGGGTGTCAAGGTCCTTCCCAACGACGCCATCCTACTCATGCGTGGTGGTCGCGTGTACGAAGGATCCATGCCCCTATTGTTGGAGGTGTTGGAAGCCTTATATGGCTGTAAGGAGACATTCTGCTTCGGTGTGTCGTCCGAAACAACAGAGGTCGACGATTGTGATTTATGTTTTCTCGATCTACTCGCCGGATCCTCCGCTCCATCGTCATCCAGGAAAAGACCGGCGTTCGTCCTGCAGGATGAGAATGCAAAAAACGAAGGCGAGGTAGAAGTGGGCACGGAACTTCGCCAGCTCCTACAACAGGAAGTGGCCGCATCCATTGACGCGGTGAAGGGCAAAACTGGGGCGAACTTTCCGCCAACGACGTGTCCCTGTTGTCCCTGGCGACAATTCGAACGCCGCCAACATCTGCTACGACATCTCGAGAACCAACACACACACGCGAAGCGGTTCAGCGCATCCGGTACAAAGCAACTGCGGATTGCCGCGGCCTTATATGATCATGATCGTCTACATGGTCAGAATCCGGAACCCGCCTACTTGGCCAGATCCAGTGCTCTACTTCGCAGGACAGTAAAGGGTGTAATGCCCCGTGACGTGAATGCCATCGATAAGAAAATTCGGTGCGTATGGCACGCAGATGGTCCAGAATTCGTGCGGCTACAGAACGTGCGGAAGGCCACAGGCTTGCGCAGAGTTGG